GGGATGAAGAAAAACACAACAAAGCAGTGAAACTGACTGACTGTCCATGTATCTAGAAAACTGACTTACCTTTTATCAATGAAACGTGGAGACAAAAATTAGTCGGTGTACAGTATATTCTGTCTTGACTTTCTGGCTGAAACACAGCTGATCTACTGGCTAATCAATGATGATACTTTGTGCATATTCAAGTCTTTTTGTGTGTTTGATCTTTGTCATTTATTGCCTTCTCTTAGCTCACAGAGCGTTAGGAGAGGAGAAGAGTGTGAAGGTGAGCCAGGAGCACGGAGATCGCAGCGCTGACGCTCAGCAGAGGAATCGCAGGTGTGATGTCACTGCTTGAGCTCACGGCTGGAAAAAAAGAAGGGAGTGTGACAACATTTGTGAAATGTGCATGTGGTGGAAATACTGTCTTAATGCTACTGGTTTTTACAAATTACCAGTTTAGTTTGTGTGCAACATGCAAAAGCTGCAAGCGTTATAAATATATGGAATTCATATGAACCAATCAATTAACTAATAATTAAGTTAAACGCCCTAAATTTTATGATTTAATGCACAGAAACTTGCCCACTTTTTTAGTTGCACCGTTTAACTGCTCATTAATGCAAATGTCTAATTATTTGATCACACGGCAGGAACTCATTATTAGCCACGCAGACATGAATCAAACAACCTGCTGAAGTTTAAACTGAGCATCAGAACGGGGATGAAAGGTGACTGAAGTGACTGAATGGGGTGTGGTTGTTGGTGCCAGACTGGTCTGATTATTCAGAGACTGCTGTTAAGCTGGGATTTTCCCACGCAAGCAGTTCTAGAGTTTACAGAGAAACAGTCTGGAAAAGATACACTTTCCAGTGAGTGGCATTTCTCTAGCTGGAAAAACCTTGATGATGCCAGAATTCAGAGAAGAAGGGACATATTCTTGGCACCGTTTGCTGCTGACCATGCCGTTCCTTTTTGACCGCGGGCACTGTGGTTATAAAGGGACATGGCACGTGAGTTCTCTGTATTCAAAGGGCCTCCACATTCGCCAGATCTCAGTTCAGTGGAGCACATTGTGGTGGAGATTGACATCATGGATAAAAGCAGTTCTGAAGGCATAAGGGGTCCAATCTGGTACTTACAATGTTTACTTAATAAAGTGTCTAGTGGCTGTATCTACAAGACTTAAACTTTATTAGCTTTGCTTCAATCACTCCAATTGTGTGAAACATGATGGAAACTGTAAACTATTGAGAAACATGCAAAACTTTTGCTTGGTGACCCTCATGTGTAGTTTCTGTTTTTCTGGGGCTGATATTGCCACGGTTTAGGTCATAAAATTAGATATTTGTAGAATGCATATGTGTGTTTTTGTTGTCCTTACCCCGGCAGCTCTTCCCATCTCTTTGCAGCATCCCAGTCACACAGCTGCAGATGGGCCCAGCGGCCTTACTGGTGCAGATTTGCTCACAGCCTCCATTGTTCTCCTCACACCAGTCAGACTCTGAAAACACATCAGAAGCTAACCTACGGCTTTTTGTTTTTCCATATATTACTTAAACAATAAACTCTAAAGCGTGTATTTTACCCCATAAGCTATTTTCTATCTAAAACTATGCTCACCTCTTCTTCTTATGGGTCCAACAGACAGTATGTGCTCTTTATGGTCACTGTCCTCTGAGTACATTCTTCTCTTATGTGGACAGTTCTGCACACACAGTTCATTGATAC